AACTGAGGCAAATGAATCTTAAGGATTATTTACATCACAGACAAATTACGACATAAAGGAATAAACAAATTAAGTTAGGTAATGCCTGTTAGAAGGTGTACTGTTGTGTTCTCTGTCTTTCAGGGACAATCAGTGTATTGCAGGATGGTCTCGAGGCCGCGACCAACGCAGGATGGCCGAATGTTAGGGTATTATTTCGACTGGGGCCGTTGTTTATAAAACAACGATAAGAAGTGAAGGCCAAAGCGCGGAAATTCAGACTGAAAGGCAGGGACACGGGAGAGAGAGAATGACCACAGACGACTGACGAGGTGTTGTGTTGAGATAATTTGGTCATTGTTGTATTGTTTTATTATAAAATAAAGTTATTTTGTGAAAAGCTGTACAGTACTTATAAACAATTAGAATAACTTTCAAATCAAATCAAAATTTTTAAAGCAGGTTTTAAAAGTTCTAAGTTCTTGGACAGACGCTTCTTTTTAAAAAAAATAAGAAAAATTTATAAATAATTCTTTCCGGTGTTGCCAGATTTCTGCAGTAGCTTCTAAAACGATATTTTTTAAATGGCAACACCGGAAAAAGTTATTTGTAAATTTCTCTTAATCAACTTATTTCCTACAACTTTGCATTTGGAAGTACTAGTCTATTACTTCAAATAAAAAGTTGGCCTATGTCAGGTTTTAAAAAAATAACACTGTATATACATGTTGTAGATATTCTTTTCTTAACGGCATGTACGTGTATCTATTTTTTTCAAGGTTGTATTTTTCAAATACGAAATAATATATTGAAATGAAAGAAAGATTCTTTTTTATGATTAAAGTATAATTCAAATATTATTTATTGTTTAAAATATAAGCCAATGAGAAATTAACTCATGATATTACTAATTTTCGTCATATTTTGAAAATAATTGTTGTTTAAACAATTTCAGAATATTCAAATAAATTTGTTTTTGATCTTTGATAAACAGTATATAAGTTTATGCAATTACCTTTGATACAATAGAAAAATAAAGTTGATAAGTAAAGGAAGTTTAAAGATAAATAATTATCGGACTGTTGAAAGACCAATAATTAAAATAATCATGATTCATTCGATTTGTAACTAGTCATGTTTTGTAAAAAAATTAATTACAAACATTTTTTTCCTCTTCCATTTTCGCCTAAAATCAACTCTTGAAAAGATATATAATTAAATAGGAAGAAAAATATTACATTTTTCGAATTTTTTTAACGTATTGTGCCGCCAAAAGTTAAGCCCACGTTTTTTTT